GTTCTACAATAAGCCAGCATGAAATCAAGCAAGAAAAATAGCACCGGTTCTATCATGAAAATCCAGCGGATCAGCCAACAGCGGGGCCTGCAAGTCATACAATTTCCAGCATAGCAGCCAGTCAGATTGCCAGGACAGTAGCACGCAAGCAATCCAGCAGGAAAAAAAGCATCGTGTGCCGCTGGCTTAAGTCTAAACTCCGTGAGCAAATTGTAGAAAATGGGAAAACGCGTTTGTATAGTTTTTAATTGCCGAAATGGGCTGGAATGTATGAAAAAGCAAAACAAAGAAAATGGAATTAAGAATAAAAGTCTTTTTAGAGCACCTAAAGTACGTAAGAAAATACTCATTACATTTTATAAAGTTATGTGCAACATTTATGATTATTTATTTCATTATTAGGACAAAAAATTGTTGGATCGTTGGACTGCAAATTTAGGTCAGTTGAAGAGACCACTTACTGAACATAGTTTTGTTTGTGAGGAACATTTCAGCATCGAAGATGTTTTTCGTTCAAACGATGTTTTATTGAGTGATGGTACAGTACATCGTACTGAAAGAATAATACCGAAATTGAGACAAAATGCTATTCCGATAGTTGGCAAGAATTATTCAGAAAAGAAGTCCAATGCTGAACATGATCTTTTATAGCAGATACGCCAAATTTGATCAGTGAAGGTTATGATGATATAAGTATAGAAATACCGTCCTTGTTCGATATAATCACCCGTCAAAGTAATAAGTATCAGTATCAGTATCAGTATCAGTTTACACCCGTCCAATCAAATGTTTCGTTTATGTTCTGTCCTAGAAGATGCAGTGATCAAAGTGTTATAGTCTGAAAATATTAATAATAACACTCTATTTGAAGTGGTTGATTTACTCGAGGAGATAGAAATACCGAAAATAGGTTGTAAAGCTGATGAACATGTTTTAACTGTATCAATCGTTAAATTTTATTTAATAATGCGAATGCATTTTGCTTGCACTAGATTTAATGAGATAAATAAAAAAAACCGGGAAAAAACAAAAATACTTAGGAAACAATCTAAATTGTAGTTTTACAATGCTTTATTATATAAAATAAATTGTTATTTTTATTATATAAAATAAACTGTTATTTTTATTATATAAAATAAACTGTTATTTTTATTATATAAAATAAACTGTTATTCTTAACACCCAGTTCATTATTCCGTTTTTTGATGCATTCTAGTTTGTTTTGGCAATTAAAAACTACACAAACGCGTTTTATTATTTTCTACAATCATTATTTGATCGAAAAATTGTCGTCTGCTGCAAGGCGAGCATTGCGCAGATGCTGACGTCACAAACCGGAAAGTGTGGGTCGTCTCTGACGCCATATTGGCAATCGAAACTGGGTCCACTTTTCAGGCGATCGGCCTATGGAGATTTTACTCCTTAATACTCTGTGGTACCGACAGAGAGTTGCGCTACTGTATATACTGTGGTAGAATTTCGTGTCGCTTCGCGTTTTCGAATCTCGTCCAGGATACCGACGTCGTCGTCCCGCGTGTGTCTCACAGAACATATACGTGTGCCTTCGATGTCGCGTATGATGGAACGACCTAAGGAGAACGTACCATGCGTGACCGGCGTGACGAAGGTGGCGAGAATAATTTTGGAACGGGTGGTGACGCTAGCAAAATGTAGCAGACGCCGGCCGGGCCGGCCCCGCACGAATCCGGACCAACCATCGACTTCCGTCGTAGCGTCGCAGCCCGACCTAAGGAGAAACGTCCGCCAGGCTGGCCCCGCAGGAATCCGGACCAACCATCGACCTCCATTACAGTCCGACTTAAGGAGAAACGTCTGCCAGGCCGGCCTCGCAAGCGACGTCCGACGTCGGCGAACTGTTCCAGGGTGGAAGAATGGACGACGGCATCGAGGCCTGGTTCATCCTACACCAACATCATTTGGTCAAGACAGAAGGACGAGGCGATAATAAATAATATACACTGACGTATGGTGACATAAAAAGACCGACATTTTGGCGCAGTCTGCTCATAATGAGACCAGAGATATTCTGCACGTGCAACGCCTACGATGTTTTCGTCAGAGCTCGCTAAATCGCAGATGGCGTCCTAGACACCGACAGAAAAAAATGACTACATTCAAACGACTTCTAGAAAACGTCAATGAAGAACATTTTCGTATCACACAGTAAAACACAAGAAACGCTACACTTTTTTCGACGCGTTCCTGCGTCAGGTCATTCGCCGTGTTTCATTTTTTCGGTTTGTAACGTAAATATTTACTTATGCTTCTTTTGAGTTTTTGTTTCTGTGTTATTAAGTTTACGACTAATAGGAGTGGCCTCTTTTTTTCACGGTTTACACATTGTAAATCCCCCTCGCTCCCCTCAAAAAAGAAAAAAATTTGAAAACCCCTAAAAAATATACAAATGTAAAAGACCATCGATTCGCGCGATCGCGATCGGCGAATATGCTTCTTGACTTGCTTGTAATCCAGTATCGCAATTATTCTCATCTGTCGTCATGATACCTAACTTTTTGATTTTTCACGTTGTGCGTATGGCAACATATCGAAGTGTACCAGGTATGTAAATATGAAACCGGAATTTACCAATAGATGGCCATAGCTGTCAATGTAGTTGCCGTCAGACCGCGTCATTGACGCTATTTCCTTGTTCTGACATCTGACAAAGATTTTCAACTCACAACAATACAAGTTTCATACAACAGTATAGTTTGTAATAGCGTTGAACATGTTGAATTTTGTGCCTGGAAACTACGATTTGCGGACAGCATTGATTTTCTGTTACCATTTGAAGAAAACTACTGCAGAATCGCATCGAATGCTTGTCAAAGTTTACGGTGAGCATGCTCTTGGTAAATCACAGTGCTTTGAGTGGTTTAAAAAATTCAAAAGTGGCGATTTTGACGTGCGAAACGAAGAACGTGAAAAACCACCGAAAAAGTTTGAAGACAGCTAATTGCAAGCGTTGTTGGATGAGGATGACGCTCAAACTCAACAACAACTCGCGGATCAATTGAATGTTACACGAGAAGCCGTCTCCATACGTTTGAAATCCGTGGGAAAGATCCAGAAGATGGGAAAATGGGTTCCACATGAACTGAATGAAAGACAGCACCGAAAACCATTTGCGAAATGCTGCTCGCCAGGTACAAAAGAAAATCATTTCTCCATCGAATTGTGACTGGCGATGAAAAGTGGATATATTTTGAGAATCCTAAGCGTAAAAGATCATGGGTAACTCCAGGCGAACCATCGACATCGACTACAAGGCCAAATCGCTATGGACGGAAGACAATGCTCTGTGTTTGGCGAGATCAGAAAGGTGTGATCTATTATGAGCTGCTAAAACCGTTAATACTGAACGCTACCGACAACAAATGATCAATTTGAATGAAGCTTTGCGTGAAAAACGACCGGAATATCAAAAAAGGCAACACAAAGTGATTTTGCTTCATGATAATGCACCATCACACACAGCAAAACTGGTCAAGGAAACGATTGAGGCGTTTGGTTGGGAAATACTTTCGCATGCGGCTTACTCACCAGACTTGGCTCCGTCCGATTACTACTTATTTGCATCGATGGGACACGCACTTGCTCAGCAGCGCTTCACTTCTTACGAAGATGTACGAAAATGGCTAGATGACTGGTTTGGCTCAAAAAAGCAACAATTTTTTTGGCGTCGCATCCACAAATTGTCAGACAGGTGGGAAAAATGTATAGCTAGCGATGGGCAATACTTCGAATAAAATATTTTTTATCATTTTTATGCAATAAACGTTTATTTTCTATTAAAAAATTCCGGTTTCATATTTACATACCTGGTATAGAGTGTCAGATTGACGGAACGTGCTATCGTTTCGTTGTTAATTAATCCACACGGAGAGAGAGAGAGAGAGAGAGAGAGAGAGAGAGAGAGAGAGAGAGAGAATTTCCGCATTTCGACATTTTCGACGAATCGCCGTTTGTTGGAAGGATTCGCGAAGGACAGAATGTGCGACTCTGTCGAAGAAGAGACGCCAGGATGGAAAGAGGAAGAACCGAAGAGCGTCGCTTCTCGCCTACTTGTTCACGGTGAGTGCCCTATATTTTTATTTACTTATTACAAGATGCATTGTTGTATTTAACGCTCGCAACGCTTGTGGAATCATTTCGTCTCTGTTTATTAAATAAGGACAAATAATACGATTGTCGTGAGCGCCAAGTAAATTCATATGTACATCCCCAATAATAGTTGCTTTCCATTTACACACAAGTGAAACTGAGTCTGAAGTGAGCTGAATATTTTATGTTCCTTGTCAGATTAATGACGTCACTACTTTCTTACTTTGATAAAAAGTTATTACATGTCAACACAGGTTCATAACCTCACTTTGAAGTGAGTTTACGAGACTTACTAAAGCACACGGTCTTGATCAAGCTTCACAACTCACGATTAACTTTTAACCGAGAATTAACTTATTTCTCACCTCTTTTTAATTCTAGAATTGGTAAGGCTCAATTTCATAACTCATGGTTAAGGATGTACTGGCGCTAACGTTCTAGCATTGACAAAACCTTGAAAATTTAATAAATTGTTTCTATTTATTATCTTAATACATGTGCAAAACCTGAAGTCGATTCTCTAACTAGTTTAGGAGTTATTCAACTTTTAATTTTGCATGAGTTCTTATGGAAAAGCAGCATATTCTTACTTATATCAACAAAATAATAAAGAAGCAGCATTGCCAATATTCTGAAACTTTGTTTGTGAGTAAATAAAATACTGAGCAATGTTTCTAAAAAAAGTTCATATCGATTCACTAACCCGTTATCAAGATATTAATTAATAAAGCAACGCAAAATTTCGAATTGGTTAGAAGTCACACTTCGACAGCTCGAAACGTGGCAACAGTGTCGCCGCGCATGACAGCACGACTAGTTTCCAGAGGAGTATACTAATGATTTTTCGAACTTACCACGATCCTTGTGATATTGTGCAAATTTTTAATTCGGTAAAAGGAAATATTAGAAATATCATTTGTGGATTTTTAAGTATTTTTCGATGTCTGATATACATTA